ATATTTTAATCTTATTCTAATTGGGTTGAAAATTAGACTTAAAGATCTTTCCAACGACATATTATATGCCTTATTTGGACTTCTGGATTAAAAGATATGATAGAAACAAAATCCGCAAAAACTGTTGTCCATCGAGTTTTATTTCGATTCGAATTCGGATTCTTTTCTTATTCTTCGACCCTCTTTTTTCTCTATAAATAGAGGTCATATCTCCCCTTTTTCTAATCATCAACTCTATTCAACTCTCATCAAGAATTTCTTGATTCTCTCCCTCTTTCTAGCATAGCCTTTTACAAACACAATTCCTCATACATTAGATCTAGACACGCCTAGCCAAGTTCGAAGTTTCCTTCGCCCTAGACGTGAAAGGTTTGATATTTCTGAGGGTTTGGTCCCAAATCTCTATTTCAATTATTTAATTTAATTGTTTTTTTATATTTTCCTTGAAGTTACTAACGTGTGTATTTTGTTATTAGAAAGAGGTACGAGGCATCCAAGTAAGTGTTTTAATTGTTTTATTGATATTATGATATAGAAATCATGTTTAGGTTGTTATTTTGATTCCTAGTGTCATGTTAGGATGATTTTTCCTAGTATCATGTTAGGATACTTTTCTTAATATGATGTTTAGGGTAAGAATAAGTTTCTTAATTATATCAATTATGATTTCTGTGATGCTTCCTATTTTCTTTCTTTAATATCATGTTAGTATCATGTTAAGGTTACAGCTTTGATTTTTATTGTTTAGTGACATGCTAGGGTTTGTTATTAATCTTGTTAGTATCATGCCTAGGATCTTGCTATTATTATTCTTTAACATGATTATTTTTATGATTGTTATAATTATTATTATTATGATTATTATTATGTTGCTTGATTATATTTATTGTTATTGCTTGATCACACCTTTTATGCATGCTTAAAAGGAATTGGTACTTGTAATCATGCTTAATAAGATAATTAATAATATTGTTTAGGGTTAATTTGATTATAATTCAAGTGATCGCCAATAATAGTTTTGTTTGTGCCTTAATAATCAACCAACATAGATTAAACAAGTTTAGGGTAATCCTATTGATTGCATGTTAGTCAGAAAGCGCACATGAATACGTGAAGAATAAAGTAGAGGCCTATTATTAGGGCAGGTTCTTTCTCTTTTAGATTGAATTTGTACCTTCATCCCCGAACTTCCAGTCTTGGTTCCAGACCTATTGGAGTTAACAATCTCCTGGATCGTTAAGGGGTGTAACCTTCACCCTGTGAACGGTTTACAAGTTCCTAAAACTTGTTGGCGACTCTTTTTCTCTAGCTTCTTTCCCTTTGGACGCCACCATGCTTAAGTGTATGATCGTAGTGGGGTTCAAATTTGGGGTGATGCTTGAAATATTTCCTACACCTAGGATTTTTATGTTGGTTGATTTAAGTGAACTTAATTAATCATTACAACATAATGAAAACCTAAACATGCATCTAACATATCATTCATATAAAATCATAAGCATAAATATGTAAAGAATAAGCATTTGATGCATATTGGCAACTAGCATGACCCGTTGAACTCTTCAAGTCTTCAGAAGGTTTTCTTTTGCAACTTCATGGCTCCATCTTCCAAGAACCTCCGTCTTCGAGACGTGACCAAAATTATGCAACTACTAGTATCTACGATTAGGACTAATCTAAATATTAATTTGTCGAAGGCCGGGTACCTTAAATGGTCGGAGACGTCGAAAGAAATGAAGGGTTCTTGCCTTAAAACTCTAGAAATTAAAAGGTGGGTGACAAATGAGATGTCAAGTATGCTAAGCCAATAGAGCGAGGTTAAAATTGATGAAAAGGCGGCGTAAACTAAGACTCTCTAAACCTTTGGGAAAATGAATGACAACCAAAGAAGACAAAGATACACCTTTATATGACTCCCCAGATTTCCATTAAAATCTCGCAAGTAAGGAGTCAATCCGTTTACAAATATTAGAAGGCACCTTAAAAACTGAAAGAACATGATTAACCAAATTGTTCCATTACTTCTCATTTATGTGGTTCGTTTTCACATTTGTTTGGTTATATAATAGTAACACTTCTTTTGGAGTTTTAAAAAGTTTTTATTTGAGTATTAAATTTTGAATAGGAATGACAACAAATGGGATTCGGATTATACAAGGCTAAATCCATATTCGATTCGCTTAATAATTAAACCTTTGACCCACATTTGAATTCGAATCCGTTTGGTCTAAGACTGAGTCCAAACCAAGTCATCTTTTTAGTAATTGAATCCAGTTCGTTAATTAGAAAATTCACTTCATTTGCGTGTTATACTTATAATTGCTTGTACTGTTTTAATTAAATTTCATGTCTAACATCATATTATTGGTCGACTTGGAAACAAAAATGTGTTTGGCGGAAGGTCCAAGTATGATTTTGATTGATTTGTCATCCCTAGTTTTGAAGGGGCTATTTAATTGTTTAACTTGTACGAATATATGTTGTAATTTGCTTTGAAGTTAACTTTGTTTTGATTTTGACTTTTTATGTGTTAGTTTGACTCTTTTTTAAAAGGCTTGAAAAAGTATGGGTTTGGCAAACATTAAAACGTACTTTTAGTTCAAAACTCAAGCCTAACCGGAAAAAGCACAAAAAATCTGCTTGCCAATAGAGCTGTCAAATGGGTCATGTCGTGTTGGGTTCGTGTTCATGTCAATGTTAAACTGGTTGAAAAACTCTTGACCTAAACCTAGCCCGTTTATTAAACAGGTTGAAAATCCTTAACCAAAACCTAACTCGTTTATTAAACAGGCACTTGGGTAACCTTTTACCTACATAGTATGTAATAAACTAATGAATATTAAATTCAAAAATATAAAAGACTAAAATTATTAATTCATTATAATTATCACAATAGTTTGAAGTTAGTATTTTACCAAAAGATACCACAAGGGTTTAGAGCAAGTAGTTTTAACAAAATAACCATACATATGTGTAGGGAATATTTCAAGCATCCCACACTTGAACCCCACTGTGATCATACACTTAAACATGGTGGCGTCCAAAGAGAAGGAAGCTAGAGTAAAAGAGTTGCCAACAAGTTTTAGGAACTTGTAAACCGTTCACAGGGTGAAGGTTACACCCCTTCACGATCCATGAGATCGCTAACTCCACAGTGGTGTGAAACCATGATTGGATATTCGGGGATGAAGGTACAAATCCAGCCTAAAAAAGATTGAACCTGCCCTAATAATAGGCCTCTACTTTATTCTTCTCATATTCATGTGCGCTTTCTGACTAACATACAATCAATAGGTTAACCCTAAACCTGTTTAATGTATGTTGGTTGAATATTAATCCACAAACAAATCTATTATTGGCGATCACTTAAATTATAATCATATTAGCCTAAACAAGATTATTAATTATCTTGTTAAGCGTGATTACAAGTACAAATTCCCTTTAAACATGCATAAAAGGCGTGATCAAACAACAACAATAATAATATAATCAAGCAACATAATAATAATCATCATCATAATCATAATATTTAATAAAATATAATAATATTAGCAAGATCCTAAGCATGATACTAACAAGATTAATAACAAATCCTAGCATGTCACTAAACATTAAAGATCAAAGATTCATCCTTAACACGATACTAACATGATATAAGGAAATAATAGGAAGCATCATACATGATATTAGAAATTTAGTTATTCTCCTAAACATGATACTAGGAATCAATATAATATAAACATGTTTCCAAAAGATATATCAATTAAAACAACTTACTTGGATGCATAGTATCTCTTTCTAATAACAAAATACACACATTAGTAACTTCAAGGAAAATATTAAATCAAACAATTAAATTAAATAATTGAAATAGGAATTTGAGAACAAACCCTAAAAAATTATCAACCTTTCACGTCTAGGGAAAAGACAATTTCGAACTTGGCTAGGTGTGTCTAGAACTAATGTATGCGGAATTTTGTAAGAGGGAAAGTTTAGAAAAAGAATAGAGAGAGAATAAGCTTCTAGCTTTAGAGAGAGAAGAGAGATTGATGATGATTGTGAATGAATTAAAAAATAGGGAACTACGACCCCTTTTTATAAAAAAAATAGTCTGGAAACGATAGAAAATACTTCAAGTTCTATACGAAATAAAACTGGCATATGTTGCCAGGCGACAGACTTTAGCGCTAGGCGATAGGTATTAGCGTCAGGCGACAGGCACCAACGCCAGGCAACAAACTCTGTTGTTTGGCGCTAATTAAAAGATAAAACGCGCTTTGTACGAAATCCTTCTCCTAATATAATTAAGTAATTAGAATCCGCATTAAACAGTTTTAAGATTAGATCACTAGTAGAAAAAATGCTATTTGTAACTAGCGAAATTGACTTTTTGTAACTGACATTGTTGGTTGCGAATGCCACCGTTACAATTAGTGAAAAGTATTCGTAACCGACTAATGTTAGTTACAAATAATGTACTATTCGTAATAGGCTTAACCTAACGCGTTACAAAAAGTCTATTTTCCAAGTAAGAAAGCATACTATTTGTAACTAACATTAAGTTACGTCGGTTACAATTAGGGTATTATTAGTAACTGGCAAATCTTAACGCCGGTTACGAATATATTTTTTATTTTTAAAAAAAAAATACTATTAGTAACTAGCACTAGATTACGCCAGTTACTAATAAATAAGTTTTTTTTTTACAAATATTTGATTCGAATACAAGAATGGTAGTATATCCTATCAAACGACCCATTGCCAAATGAATTACAACCTGTTACAGTTCAACCAAAAAAACACGTACTCCGAATACTTCAATATAACTTAAATTCACCCACAACATACAATACAAATATTCCAAATAATTCTACACAACTTAAATTCATCCACAACAATACAATACAACAAAATTAACTATACTTTCCAAAAAACAATTAAAACTTGAACAAAAAAAAAATCATTGATTTATAATTTAGAAACGTAATAACAATAACCAGTATGCTAAATAAAGTTGATATATAGAAATGTGTTATATTGTTTTATTAAGCTAAATGCGATTAATCATAACATCGATTAATAAGATAACTAATATTTCAACATAAAATTAAGTCTAAAAAACTTATCCCATTGTTCTCGAATCTCATCCAATTCTACATCGTTTTAGTATGCAAATCTTGCCAAATAATCCTGCAAATATAAAAAAAAAAATACGTGTTTATTATACTTTATAAAAAAATAAAACATCTACCAAAACACATATAAAGCATTTTAGCACCATAGGCTTACTTGATTGTATTCCTTTTGATGGCCCCCTAACTCTTCTTAGATAATGTGGCTTGCGAAGCAACATCTTGGTCCATGGATGTCTGCTCTTGACTTTGTTAATTGACCATATTTATGCTCTTGATCTAGAAGTTAGTGCATGAAACAATAATTTAAAAGTCAGACGTGGAGTTTCTTACTCGAATACAGGATTGATGGGCCTGTGAGCAATTAAAAAAAAAAATTAGAAACTGATAAAATTAATAATCTCATTAAGAGAGCTATATTTTTACATATTATCATAGTTTTCTTGTATGTACTTATGATCTGTGGGGTTTCATCTGCCTAATTATCTTATTTAAAGGTCATTATTGCCAGTCATTAGGAAATGCATTTCCAATAGAAGAATCAGCTCTAGAAGGCATCAATGGGTTCCCTGTTATATCACAATCAGGTACAATAGTTTACATAAGCTAACAACAATGAAAAGAATACCACCAATTTCGTAAGATTTTCTTAAAACTATCAGAAATTTCGTGCAATATTAACAAGATGTGTGAATTACTTAAATTACTTTGATTCAACTATATACACAAGCTCTACCAAAACCTGAACTGACTATCTATATGACATTACACATTGATGGGCTAAAGGACATCACAAAAACACAAGAAGAATTTTAACATGAAAATATGACCAGAAATAAGCACTCCATAGTCCAGACCTTTCTCCAAAAATTAAGTGTTTGATATTAATACTAATTAGCTCAAGAAAAAAAAAGGATATGAAAGTTGCAAAAAATAGACAGTAGAGAAATTTTGCAAGGGTGTGTAAATCTTCAGAAAAATCACATCAATTTGTACAGAGTAAGAGTATAAGGATGTTGCCGTAAGGTCGAGTGCAGATTATGATATTAATAAATTATACAGAGCAATCAACATATTTCAATCAGTCAAGGAGACATTATCAATCAAATCCTCGGAGTTAAGTCAGAGCAACACTGTAAAACTACCCACACATACATCAAGTACCCACCTCAGATGCAGCATGAAAATTTCGGATTGAAACGGCTCACAGTGTCTGAAACTCCGATACTTTGTATTGAACTTATCTGAATTCTTCACATACATAAATACAAAAAGTTTGAATTTATCCCTTGTTCTTATTAGGCATATATTTCTAACATTCTATACTTCGATCGCTATTAGTGAATCTTATTGAATTGAACTCTTCATATCCAATTCAGTTGTGTAATTTTCCCAAGCTTCTTTCAACATTATAAAATTAGGAAATCCTTACTGACTGACGTACATCACTTCTGGAAGCATATATGGTCGAAAAGGGTTTGGTATCTTCTGGCACTAACAACTCATAATGAAATTTGTCTCAATAAAATAGCTTAGCAGTTGTTTGATTTTGTTGGGAAATCAATATTAGAAGAGAGCTTCAAGGTAATAATATTTCAATTTGGCCTAATAATTAAAAATATTCCATGCCATCAGTATTCTCATGCTGATGTAATCATGTGGCCTTAATCTTAATATCAATTTATTCAAAGAACTTTTATAATTTAATTTATGCAGCAATGGGTTTAGAGTTTCTGCACATGTACATTGCTTGCCTAGTCCATATATTTAGTTCATACATGGAGGAGACATATATAGACATTTTTATAATCTGTCCTTAGTTTGTTAAGTCATGAAAGTGGAGGTGACAAGCAACAGCTAGCGGTAAAAGAGGGCAGAAGACACTTTAGCAAAAGAAGACAAAACTAATCACCCACCTGAATTGAAATCCTATTACAAAAAAAAAAAAAAAAAAAAAAAAAAAAAAAAAAAAAAAAAAACCCTTGGAGCAAGATGATTCTACCTAATGGAATAAAAATAAAATAAACAACATAATCACAGTAAAGAAAATTAAATTACACTCTGACATTATTTTTTTCATATTATTTTCTTTCCTTTCATCCCAATCAGAAAATTTTATTCAGAGGTATTCTTGCCATCACCTAAAATATAAAATTCCAATTTGTAGAGAGCATAAACAGATTGTAACCATCACTAGTGACCCTATATACTTAGATCCTGAATAATATCAGAGGCTTATAGCTATTCATGAAAAAGTCTCTAGAGATAATTGAAAGCCAAAAGCTCAAACATATCTTGTATGGATTCAGCCAGCAGCTCAATGTATAGCAATGGAGTAAATAACAGAAGCCAACTTGACAACAATATTGCCTATAATCTCTATACAGCAAAACAGATACCAGAGACAGAGCCCAATATTCTAAGATCAATAGCTTCATTCTAAATTACATGTTACTCCTATCAGATCAATAAACTATAATACCTCCTTCTGAAGTAGAATGGAATGCTTAGACTTCTCAATGAGCTGAGTCCTTAATGCTCGGAGTTCGTATTCCATGTCCATTACCTGAAAAGATGACGATTAATAGAATTTACCCATAAATATACAATAAGATAGATCAAGATACAGAACTGCAAATTTATAGGCACACAAAGAAACAAACTAAAAATGCTTACTTTGCTAGGCTGATGGAGCATTTTGATGCGTCTAGCCTCTTGAAATTCCTTCATTAATTCTTCATAGTCCTGATGATGCACATGGAAATTTTAGAGAGGAGAAATATATTCTACAAATGCTTGACATGTATGGCTCAATAATCCAGTTAAGAAATTGCAATTTACACACATCAATTTTCAAACTCAAAGACCAATATTAACAAGAAATATGCTCCTTAAAATTTAAATTATTAAACTCAACCAAAGTAATAGAAAATTGGTCATTCATAACCAATTTGTTGTATAAAAGCAGATTCACAATTATTAAAAAAAAAAATTATGCAGCCGAACAAATCTTAGATTATAGAAATGTACAATGAAAAAAATAAACAATTAATTAAAAAACAACAAATTATTCAAATAATACCAGAATTTAGCGACTTAACTAAGGAATTTGAGCAGCGAACCAAACTATTTGTGCTTCGAACCCTACATTAAATATAATGAGACAATTAATTAGCAGTAAATCCTAGATTGTGAAATTGAAATTTGATAATTTAACACATTACCTAAGAAGGTGCTTCAATAGAGGAAATTGCTTCAGCAGAGGAAAAAGCTCAGAGGCTACTTCAATGGAGGAGAAAGCTCATAACTCGCTGCAATCATGACAATTGAAAGCTTAACTCCATAAATTTCACATGATATGCAACAAATTTCGAGTCCTAACAACAAAAATTCGAACAAATTAACTAGTGGTAAACCCTAGATTTTGAAATTGATATATTCGATAATTTAAGAAATACTACCTGATAAACTTATTTGATGGAGGAGCTACTTCAATTGAAGGAGAAAGCTCAGAGAAGCTGTTTCAATGAAGATCGAAGAAAGCTCAGAGAGTAAGGGAGAGAGATCGAGAACTTGAGAAGAGGAGGAAAGGAGCGGTTTTATGTGTGAAAAAAATGGGGAAAAAAATTAAGAGTGAAGGTAAGAGGAAGTATGTGTGATGGATTGATGGGTAACGAAGAAAAAAGTTTAAGTCATTTTTTTTTAATAAGAAAAAGTTTAAGTCTTTTGTTTGTATTTGAAAGAGAAATTGTTTCCTTTGTTTTTTTTTTTTAAAGTTTCCTTAATATTTGTAACTAATGTTTCTAAACTAGTTAAAAATTATTGGTCAAAGTTTCTTTGACTTAATATTTGTAACTGGTATGCGTAAGCTGGTTACAAACGCTTTGATTAAAGTTTCTTTGACTTAATATTTGTAATTGGCGTTGATAAGCTAGTTACAAAAGTTTTAGTCAAAGTTTCTTTGACTTAATATTTGTAACTGGCATTTATTTAGTAAGTTACTAATAAACTTCTAACAATGATAAACCACATATTAGTAACTGACATTTACTACGCCGGTTACTAATGTCATGAAATTTGTAACTGGCATTACCTTAGTTGGTTATTATTGATGCTTTCGTAACTAGCATAACATACGCCAGTTACTAATAGGGCGTTACAAATAGAATTTTTTTTCTACTAGTGGATTTATCATAAAACACTTATTTTATTCCAAATAAAACTCTTTGAAATATAATTATCAATCCTAATCCCATTAGAATTTAAAAGAATATTCTAGATTATTCTAAAAGATTAAAATCACTCCTAATAACTTTTGGAATAATAATTAATAGGTCCTCCTCTAGATCATTGGGCCGCATATAAAATTCATTTCGGGCCCAATTTAGTATTTTTGGCCATAACTTCCTCATTATTTATCGGAATTGGGCTTATAATATATCGTTGGAAAACTCTTTTCGAGCCCGACCCAAATACACTATTATTGGACCCTTATCATGGACCAAACTAGATTGGGCTGGTCATTTTCATAAATAGAGCACATTTTCAAAAACAAAAAGAGAGATATTTTAATAAAAACAACCGCATCACTAGACTTTTCACACCTTCACTTCGTTCGATAATCAAATGACGTGAAAAGCATTCATCACTGGGTTTGGTTCTGGGGAGACACATTTGGGTGTCTACAATATGAATTGTCTCAAAAAACTCCGTAACTTACAAAAGATGAGAATTACGAGTATAATTTTTTCGCCAAATTAATCGCCAAAAAATTACCAAAATGTATAACTGGTGTTAAGGTAATTTATAAAGTTACAAGTTTTTTTATATAAAAAATTCAATTTTTTAACTGCTTAATCAATAAATTAAGCGTGTCAGGTTTACATTGATGGGTTGTCGTTCAACCTATTTATTTAATCGGGTTATGCTTGTCGGATTCGGGTTGAAGATTTCAACCCAAACCTAACCCGTTTAATTTCTTGTCGTGTTCATGTCGACCCAATTATCTAAACGGTCAAGAATTCTTGACCAAAACCCGCTTATATCGTGTCGGACTTGTGTTGGGTCATCGTGTCATGTCATCTTTTAACAACCCTACTTGCCAAATAAAACGACATTATTTTGAGGGTTTGGACATAATATTTTATTCAAAGGCTCAGACGAGTCCAATTTTTGAGATAAGTATAGCCTGGTACCATGTAAGGACAAAGACGGTCCATACCTACGTTGAAAAAAAATTTCTCTAAGTGTTGGAAAACCGTCATTTGTTAATTTAAGTATGAGCTTGTTATAATAAATTTAATATTGTTATATGTTTCTTCAATATTGTTTTCGAGGTATCATTTTGCTCCTTTCTGTAATACTAATATATTAAAAGGCTAAGTGTTGTATTAGAAATAAAGTGCTATATTTATATATTGTTATCGCATAAGTGAAATCTGTTATTAAGGAAGACAATATTGTTATTATAAATTAGAAACTGTAAATATGCGAGATTTGGTATCAGAACCATAAGGTTAAAAGTACTAAGTTGTTAATTAATAAGTAATAAAGCTGGAGAATACTAGGTCTTCTACTAAGTGTAAGAAACCTGATTTTGATTATTATCATATTACTGAAAATACTAGTAATTTTGGCCCAATCCTTAATTATATAGTAGATCAAATTGGCGAATTAAGATCAGATTTTGATAACGTATATGCTTGTCGTATTAATGTTGAAAACAAAATATCAATAACCACAACAGATATTATTAAAAAAGTAAGTGATTTAAAAGAACAAGTTGAACAAGTACAACTTGCTTTAACAAACGAAGTAAGACATCAATCTATTAAAGAAGTATCACCTAGTAAATAAAAAAAATTATCTCGTATAAATATAAATATCCTTTTCAAAATCTAAATTAAAAATAAGAATTTTACGGTATCACTCCCTAAAAGACCTATTAGTTACCAAGAAAATAATAAAGAAACTAAAGATGAGCCATCATCTTCAGGAGAAAATGATTAAAGAATTGCAAATCTTGTTCGATAAAGAAGATGACCTTGATAATAAGCTAAATGATATCATGAAAATAATTTATGAAAAAAGGGTTACTGCCAATAATGTAGTCGAGGAGAATAACTATGCTACTTTAGAGGAAGATTTATATCAACAAATGGGATTAATGAACCTAGATGATCTAGAATTTCTACCTATAGAGGTGGTTAAACAAAAGATTGAAAATAAACTAGGTAAAAGAGTAATGGATAATAATGATGTTGGAGAAGAAATTATTAATGTAAACAATGTTATCAAAAGGCCTAGGTATCAAGGAGAAGGAAGTTGCACACGACCAAGATACATACCAGGGAAAACTACTCGATTTAGTGTCAAGGTTATGCTTAATCATATACTTAAACAAGAAGAAGTGGCTCTTGAACCTATAAGTCAAACCGGTTATAAGCTTAAATTTCTTCTCCCAAGATCATGCATTTAAACACTGAATGGACTTCTGAAAATTTCTTAAATTACCTCGAACACATTTTCTAAGGCTGTGTATGTAGGAGTTTATAGGTACGAATGCGGAAAACATGAATCATATTCATATAGCACCTAATCCCAATATCATGCATAATTGTAGACACCTAAAAATGTCTCCCCAAAACCAAACCCGATGATAAACAACCTTTCACCGCCATTATTGGTCGGGTTGAGTATTTAATTTTTGGAGTGCTTAAATTCATATTTCCATTTCATAAACCAACCTAACTTCTAGCCCATTTCCCCAAACCATAACTTAGTTTCAACTTTTCGTGCCTTTAAACCCAAAATAATTCATTTCGTGTCCTTTAAAATCATTCATTTCGTGTCCTTTTTATAAAAACGTTTAATCCAGTCTATTTTGGTCCATAATCTGGTTCCAATGATTAAATATTTGATGGGGCTTGAAAATATCTTTCCAACGATATATTATAAGCCCAAATCCGAGTTATAACGAATAAGTTGTGACCAAAATATTAAGCCGAGCCCAAACCGAACCTAAGCCCACCTTACCTACGACCCAATGATCATGTGGAGGGTCCAAATGATTTAATCCAATTCCTAAACCAATTAGTATTAATTAGAAGCTTCTATAAGTTTCTAAAAGATCTTAATTATCCTTTTTGAAAAGATAAGATTAACGAGTTTGAAATTGAATAAAACTCCTTTTTTTGAAAATCCTATTTCTATCCGAATTGAAAGACGTTCAAAGATAGACATATATTATTTTTGTTCCTCATAGTTTTTATCCAAATTTTATATGGTTGGATAGCCCTTGAAATTATCTTTCCAATGATATATTGTAATATCAATTCCGAGCTATAACAGAAAAGATATGAATAAAATGTCAAACTCTATCCAAAACTGACACCATCTCACTATTTCGGCTATATCTTTTGTTATACAAAATAGTTTAATCTTATTCTAATTGGGTTAGAAATTAGACTTCAAGAGCTTTCCAACGATATCTTATTTATCTTATTTCAATTTCTGGATCAAAAGATATGATAAAAACAAAAACCGCAAAAACTACTGTCCATCGCAAGAGTTTTATCCGATTCGAATTCTTATCTTGTTTTTTTTCGACCCTTCTTTTTGCTGTATAAATAGAGGTCATATCTCCCCTTTTTTCAATTATCAACAAGCTTGATCATCAAATAATTCTCTTCTCCCTCTTTAGCCTAAATACTAGCCTCCCTATACTCTCAAAATACTTCCCTTAATTAAGCACTCCAAGGAGTTCATACAATACCCAAAGTTCTATACTTAAACCAAGGCGTGAAAGGTAGAATTAACTGAGGGTTTTGAGCAAATCAACTCTACTTTTTAATTTAATTTTCAATTTGATTTATATTTTTATTGAAGTTACTAACAGTTTATTCATGATGTAGCAATTCAAGGAAGCGCGGAATGTGAGTAATTAATTAATTTAATTACTCTTATTTTTATTCTTGTTGCTAGTATCATGATTAGGTTATTTTGTATTTAATTTGACTAACGCTATTATTGTTGAAATGCTTCCAATATTAATGTTTATTCTATTATTATATTTTATGATTACAATATTGCATGTTAAAGGGAATATGTAATTGAAAATCACGCCTAATAAGATAATTTGGACAACCGGTTTAGGTTCCTTTTTAATCTTGTTATTAAATCAAGTGATCACAATATTTTAGAATAATGTGTTGCATTAATATTCAACCAATTTAGCATAATAATAGTTTGGAGCAAATTGAATTTTTGTTTGTATGCCTTTGAGATCGCAGGAATCACTTTTCACTATAAGAATCGAGTAGAGGCCAATACGGGCGAATGTGACTCCATAACTCACTTCGTACCATCATCCCCGATCCTCCTTTCGTGGTTCCGAACTATATGGAGTTAGTAATCTCATGGATTATGAATGGGGTGTAACCTTCACGGGTCAATCGTTGTTGCCTATCGTTGTCCCTTTATTCGTGGTTGCCTTAAATGATCTGTGAACGGTTTACAAGTTCCTTAAAAACTTGTTGGCGGCTCCCTACTTTCCTTGTCCCTAATCGTATTTCAATTCCCACTTCCTATGACTGCCAAGCATATTCACCACATGCTTTTAATGTAGGCGCACTTCGAACGGCGCCTACAATAACACATAAAGAATTAGAATTAATACCTTTGAAGCGTGATTCCACGTGCGATCGAAGAAAAAGGGAGATAAAGAACCTCAAGCGTGAATTCCTCTACTTGGTCCACAGGAACAGATTAAGTCCTCCACTAATGCTAGTTAGTTGCAATCGAACACTTCAATTGACCTTCTATGGAGTAGAACGAGCAACAAACAAATCACAAACCACCACGAAGGGAG